GTGTGTATTGTAGCTTTTTTAAACAATACTAGGAGTCTCAAATTCATTCTCAAGTGTGACCTGAAGCTATACTTGGGTGAGATTCAGTTAAATGCACAAGTAGCTACAATTGCCAGATTAACGCTGGTTAGTTCACCCACTTCGGTTGGAAACAAGTTAAAATAACTTGTAGGGCGTCAGCCATACCTCTAACTAGAAGTCAGAGGTTAAACAAGTCATCCAGTGAAAGGAAAACGTTTTGCTGGGAAAGAAAAAAAAAGGTGTGCTCAAGCAGAAAATAGACACTAAAAATAAATTAATCATCTTCAACTGTAAAACTGGAGGAGAAGATGGGGAAGCTAAAACGAGAGATGGACTGTGAACCCAGCCTTGATATATTAATATATCTTTTGGGAGAGCAACTTTTTAAACAAGGTTTTTCATTAAGGTTTAACAAACTCACATTCTTGCACTGAATATGACATATATTGGACTAGATTTCTGGATTATTGATAAATCTACAGTAGTGACTTTACTGTCATTAATTCACTCTGAAATTGTCATGTAACTAGTAAATGGAAATCACAAAACTTACAGCACAGAAGAACACCATTCCACTCACTGGTACTGGTCACACCTCATTCACCGGAGCCACCTACTCCAATCCTAATTCCTTTCACGATCCCCGCCCATATCCTTTTAAATTGTTCCTTTTCAAATATTTATCCAGTCCCCTTCTAAATAGGGATCAAATAAGTATTTGAATTAACACAGCATTGTCAGTCTGGCTCAGTTAGTAGCACGCTCACTTCTGAGTCAGAAGAGTGTGGGTTCAAACCCACATCAGGACTTGAAACTTGTATAGTCTAGGCTTACAATTTACAACAACAACAAGATTACATTTGTATAGATCCTTTCACGTCAGGAGGACAGCCCAAGGCGCTGAAAATGTAATGCAGTGCTGGGGATGTGATGCATTGTTGGAAGTGCCGTCATTTGGAAGAGATTTCCCGTGAAGCACTTTCGAATGTTCTCCTTATAATAATAATAATAATCCTTGCATTTGATATAGCGCTTTTCACGTCTTCTAGACGTCCCAAAGCACTTCATAAAATATACTGTAATGTGAATTGACTGTATATTTGTGGGCGAACGCGGCAGCCAATTGCGCACAACAATGTCCCACGAACAGTCATGGATTGAAAATGGCCAATTTATTATTGTTTTTTTTTTGGCGGGATTATTATTAGGAGTGTGGAGTAAGGAAACTTGCCCAAGGTTTCGCTCTGCCTGGAATTGAACTCGGGTCTCTCACTTGCAAAGCGAGTGCTCTAACCACTGAGCTTCAGGACTCCACGGGACTTTCATTTTATACAGCATGTTATATGAAACATGCTGTATAAAATGAAAGGATTATTATTATTATGGTCTTAGCCTTAATAGCTATTGTGGCGAAACACTACAGATGGTGGCGTAGCTCGTAGTTCCTGACACAAACAGAAGAAACCCCCACATAGAACTGAAACTGTCCAGTGACAGAAACCAGAGTGTGAGTTCAGGACTGTAACCCAATCTGGTGGATTCTGATTTCCCCCTCAATATTATTTGAGCTCTTCAGTTAGATTACTGCCACTGTAAACTCTCCCGCTTGTATCCATATTGTATGTTTATCAACTGGTTTGAAGTCCAAGGAGAGTTACAAAACTTATGATAAAGAGTTCACTTTTCCATTCTTTTACTATGGGAGCCTAAACCGATCACATCAGTAAAATGCTTGACGGGATCTTCAGAAATGTGAATTTTGAAACACTATCTTAAATAGTCTTCTCTCTTCAAACAACTAAGATTTAAATTCAGAGATTTTACCCTTTAGTAAAACATTTTTTTAAAAATAAAATTTTATGAATATGGGTGTTATTTTCACGATATCTTCCCCTCCACACACACGCAAACATACATACTCACTTAGTGATATACAGTATTTATATTAGTGAGAATATTAACATGGTCACATCACTCATTCGGCACTGCAGCAAACAACAGAATAAAGAGAATGTCCAACTCGTATGTTCCCGACATTCTTTAATTCGAGAGAATGACCTTCAAGTGTTGAACTTGTAGGCCTCCTGAATTGTGTCTCTTTAGAGAAAAATCTAACGTAATGTCACCCGCCTGATATCCTTCATTCACTTATGAAACCCAATATCCTGGAACTGGACCTGGCATATTGTCAACCGTTTGCTAAATACCTTCAGCAGCTTTTGCAATAAGCACGTTTGCTACATTACATCGGGTTGTAGTGATCATAATGTTCATTACAATTCAGGAACTATACAGAAATCCCAAATATTTATTAATTTAACATCTTCTAATATTCTCTTTCCATTTTAAGTGTTTTGGTGTGGAATGTTACATCAACCAACACTGGTTGACTGTAGGGCATATGAGCACAGTAAAGTTATTATAACATCAATAAGAATTAAATTGTTGAGCAGAATTGTATCCTTTATATCTCTAGTTCTCCTTATGAACTATGGTTTGCACACAATGAATACAGTGTTACAATAGTCTGCAATGCTTTGTGTGAGAACGTTCATTTTACCATTTGGGATTCAGTCAGGGGATTCATGCTCAGATTAAACAGTGGCAATGCAATGTTATCCCTTTTACAAATCCACACGTATAAATCAACAGCTTCAAAAAGATTTTTAAATGGACTCATACTGTAATATTGCATCAATCTTTTAATATTTTGCTATACTCCACATCAGGAAATGCTAAAAATGGGAACAAATCAATAAACCACATTACTACAGCCTTCTGAGTTTTAAACTAGGCAGATTGATCAATAATAATAAATAATAATCCTTGCATTTGATATAGCGCCTTATCACATCTTTGAGACGTCTCAAAGTGCTTCACAGAAAATAATTTAAAGTGAATTGACTGTATATTTTGTGGGAGAAACGCGACAGGCAATTGCGCACAGCAGTGTCCCCAAACAGTCATGGATTGAGTGACCAATTTATTGTTATTTTCAATAACAGAGAAACTTTCCTGCTAGGCACTGTTGTAGCTGATATACAGTATTTTAGAATGTGTGACTAGGTGTGAAGATTCATTTGACTTTGAAGCTGGCAATATTTACAAAATATTACTTTGAGCAATGATAATAATCGTTGCATTCGATGGGCTGCCTGTAACTCAACTTCTCAAAGTGCTTCACAAAGAAGAGTAACAATTTAATAGGCGCTCCGCTTGCATTCCATATATGAAACCAATGTAATACAATACAGTAATGTTTTTAAAGTCAGGAGAATGTAAATCCCAATCCTCCACACACAATTCTGCAATTTTTTTCTCCAATTCTTCCTCCTCTCTCCTCCCCTAAAAGCGTTTAATCCTTTTTCATTCCACTCGTTCCTCCAGCTCAGATTGCCCTCCTACCGTCATTCAGGTGGCTATTATTCATGTATGAACCGTGAAGGTGAGTGTTGGAAAACTAGCCAAGCCCATCGGGTTCTCACCTGACGGTCATACATATTTAATTTCTAGTGTAAGGGGGCGGGGTGGGGAGAGAAAGCAGATCTACCAATGAAGTCATTCAATCTTTTGCACTTCTCCTTCTGCCAGCTATTTAGAAGCTCATAAGCAGCGAGTCATTTCCAAATCTCCTTAAGCCTGAAACGATATGGAAGGAAGACAAGTTTGCACCCACGACAACTCCCTCCTTTTTCTCTTAGTAAAGACCCCCTTTCCTGACGCTTAGACACTTCTCAGAGGTTAAACATGTCCTGTTAGCAAATATAATGCTTCAAAAATATCTTTCTTTTCATCTTAACATTCAGCAAGAGAAATTCAGATTGCCCATGGTGGGTGAATGGAGCTGACTCTGCTGGTCGTTACAATGACAACAATCTTGCATGTATATAAGCATCTTTCATTTCAGGAGGACATCTCAAAGAGCTTTACAGAATTGGTTGGAAGACTGAGCTGGGGGTGGAGGAGCTGGGGAAGGGAGACCAAAAGTGCAGTCTTAAGACAGGATTTAAATAGAGAGAGGGAGCTGGGAGGTGAGGTGGAGTGACTCTGGGATAGAGTTCCAGTAAATGGCAGGGGGCAGAATAGCTGATATATTGGCTGAGCTTTGAATGAGAATTTCCCAAGGTTGGTAAATTTAATAGTGAAGGAATGCCTACCCCCACCATCCCTCTGGCCCATCAGGAGACAAAACGTGTGTTTTATTGTGAGAACCCAAATGAGGAAAAATCTGAATGTTCCTTAATGTAGTCAAGCTTCAGGATTTTCAATGTTTGTTCATAGCTTTAGCAAATTAGTGATTTTAAGATAACTCTCCTGGAGAAGGCATGTGCACCTGTGCAATGTAAGATTTGACTTAGGTGGAGTGCCTCAAAGCCTTGTTGTTTTGAATGAATGGGAAATGGAAAACAGCTGTGTGGTGAAGCTGAATACAAGTTGTGCCAAGAGAAATTTTGTATTGCTACCCATTTAACCCAAGTTTACAAATGTTGCAGTCCAATGCCTTCTGGTATAATATGTAAACTATCAATGCATTTTGCTGTGAAGCTGTTGACCCTTTGACTGTGATACCTAAAGCTGGCCAGTGTTCCACAGTAATGTGCGGACTTCACCCACACTGTCCATCCTTGTTAGCTGCTCCTCTGCGGCAGCAAGTGCCTGCATAAAGTGCTCATTTAATGCAATATAAGATGCTCAGAAGTGTTGACTTTCATTGATGCTTTGAACACAAAAAAATGTGCACCAGCCAACTCAGAGGTCAGTGTTGACCTGATGACCCAACGATCACAATGCACTCATTGGTCCATTGCAAGCTATGCCTTCACTTCTCTTGTTAAATATTTGCTTTGTATCAGTTGAGCGGTGCACATGCACTTTGAAGCTGCACTTTGTATTTTCCAGGTTACGAGAACTCTCGTGCAGGTAACCCATTTCCAAAAATATTGACTGAGAATTCTTTCCTCTCTTTGTCTTCTCCACAGGTCTGAGCACAATTTGAATGGTTTTGACAGAATGACAGCAGAAGACTCCACTACCATGATGAGCACAGATTCCTGCAACATGTCCTCAACTAAAGTTCCCGAAGGCGTCGCTGGCGCCCCCAACGAGTCCACTCTGCTTGCACTCATGGAGAGAACGGGCTACATGATGGTCCAGGAGAACGGGCAGCGTAAATACGGTGGCCCCCCTCCTGGCTGGGAGGGACATCCTCCGCCCCGCGGTTGCGAAGTCTTTGTCGGCAAAATCCCTCGGGACGTTTACGAGGACGAGCTGGTTCCAGTGTTCGAGTCTGTGGGTCGCATCTACGAGATGCGCCTGATGATGGACTTTGACGGCAAGAACCGGGGTTACGCTTTTGTCATGTTCACAGCCAAACACGAGGCAAAGCGCGCTGTCCGGGAGCTCAACAACTACGAGATCCGCCCGGGGAGGCTGCTGGGGGTCTGCAGCAGCGTGGACAACTGCAGACTTTTCATCGGGGGCATCCCGAAGATGAAGAAGAGGGAGGAGATTTTGGAAGAGATCTCCAAAGTCACGGAAGGCGTCCTGGATGTGATCGTCTATGCCAGTGCGGCCGACAAGATGAAGAACCGAGGTTTCGCCTTCGTGGAGTATGAAAGTCATCGAGCAGCTGCCATGGCCAGGAGGAAGCTGATGCCTGGACGCATCCAACTGTGGGGCCACCAGATTGCGGTGGACTGGGCCGAGCCCGAGATTGACGTAGACGAAGATGTCATGGAGACGGTCAAGATCCTGTACGTCCGGAACCTGATGATCGAAACCACCGAGGACACCATCAAGAAGGTCTTCAGCCAGTTCAACCTGGGCTGCGTGGAGAGAGTAAAAAAAATCAGAGATTACGCTTTTGTTCATTTCGCTAGCAGGGATGACGCAGTTCTGGCCATGCAGAAATTAAATGGTGCCGACCTGGAGGGCTCCTACATTGAGGTGACCCTGGCCAAGCCTGTGGACAAAGAGCAGTACAGCCGCTACCAGAAAGCAGCTAAAGGAGCAGTAACAGAAACTCCTCAAGCGAACATTATTTACTCTTGCGACCCCTACACACTAGCCTATTATGGGTACCCCTACAATCCACTGATTGGTCCCAACAGAGAATATTTTGCCAAAGGTTAGTAACATGTAAATTACACGTGCTCCTGAACCCTCGATGGTGGTGTATTTTCCAATGAAAATCTGTTTAATGGCTTTGACTACCTGTTCTCAAAAATCAAATCTGCTCAGCTACTGTGTTATATCATACCATCCTGTTAGTATTGGACAACTGCTAAAGTGTTCAACCCAAGCAGAGATTGCTAGCATAAATCAATGCAAGATTTCTAATGTGATTCTTTCACAAGGAATATAATGTAAATGGGATCCTCCTCTGGTAACCCAAAATACATCATTCCTCCTTCAGGAACCCTTCAATCTGGTGTTTATTCGCATAGTTCCCACAAGTTAATGGGATTTTTAAGAAATTCCACAATTTAGATTATTCTTCCTCAGTTTACATTAGATACAAAACTAAGATGTGTGCTGATTGGATGAATGCATCAATACAGTGGTTAAGCTGAAAACTATTAACCAAACAACCTGGCAGCCAATTGGCACAGCAGTGTCCCACAAACAGTCGTGACCAAATCGAGTGACCAAATTATTATTTTTTTGTTGAGGGATTATTATCCCCGGAAAAGTGATCCACCAATCAACTAACAACCAGTTCCTACTTACTGCTAGGTAAACAGAGCCGTGTGGAGGAAGGAAACTTACATTTTGCCCTGCCAGGTATAGAACCCAGGTCTCTCGCTTGCGAGGAAAGTGCTCTAACCACTGAGCTACAGGACTCCACAATATTTCCTATGTGTTAGGAAGTCTGTTTTACTGTGGCTGACATGTAAATCTAACCCTATTGCAGTATTGCAATAGTCAATGAATTGTGATGTTCTTCAACAATAATTCCCAGATATAACTAATCTTAACATTATAACCCTCAACTCATAAAATAAAGAATACAGAGTAAAAATGCCAACAAGTCTACATTTTCAGAATTGGTTCTGATAATTAACGGTTAACTGTGCGATTTGAAAGTCTATAATGTGTTTCTTTAGGTAAGGCCTGGGAATATGCAGGGAGCTTTGCATTCTTACAGACTGACTTGGTACTGTTGCATAACTATTGTTAGGATAGAAACGATTTTTAAAATTATGGATAGAAAAATTGGCTGCCATGTTTTGCCCACAAAATCCACTTTACAATATACTCTGTGAAGCGCTTTGAGACATCTCATTGATGTGATTAGGTGTTATATCAAATTCAAGTATTATTATCATTCCAAAGTCAGGGATGTTCATTCCTAAGCCCTGAGGCTAGCACATGGGATCTGTTAAAGAAAATCCTAAGAATTCTGTCCAGGGAAAGAGAGTTTAGATTTCTGGCTTGCAGGTGGGAGACAGGGCAGAAGATGTTGCAACATTGGAAATTCATTCAGATAAGACAACAATAACTTTATAGGGACATACAGTTAAATCAATATTATTCCTACCTTTGGTTTGGATCTGTAATAATGAAATAAAGCAAATAGAATTGAAACATCAATGAAACAAGTCACCAAATCTAGAAATAGGATCCTCTACCCTCTTGCTCGGTTTCGGCAGGCAGGAAGGCCAAATGGAGTATGCTTGAAACTCCTATAAATCTATTTAGGATTTTTTTTTCTCTGCCATTTTCTCACCTTTTATGCTCAAGACATTCAGATTTTTTATTCTTCCATTTGGATAGGATTTCAGGTGCCCCCTAGTGCCTCGCTCCAACTGTCACTGTTCATGTGTGAACCTTCAAGTGAGCACCTGTAATCTCAGGAGCCTTCAACCAACACCCACACATTTGTCAACAAGTTTTCTAGATAGCAATTAGGTGCATGTCCAACAGTTGATTTTTATTCCCTTATCTAGGAACATTAAAGACAATTGTACCACATATTCGGTGCCCAGCTAACATAACAAATTCAGTATAGATTAGGTATTCAGTACCTCCTGGGCCAAGGGGGAATCTGATTTGTTTTTGCCAAATTTTGAGTGACTTTGATGAGATTCTGAGTGACAGCACTTGCCTCTTGTGCCCCTTTAAATCATTAGAGCCCTGGAGACATGCCAGTGTTGTTCCTTCCCCTCCCTGATATCTTGTCCTGGGGGACAAAGCATGGTCAGTAACTTGTATCATGGTCAAACTCATTTGTGTCTGACACTACTAAGGCGTAAGGTTATATCCAAAACGTTTGTCTTAAATATGGCATTGAGGGATCATTGTGAAATGTGTGGCCAGCTGATTTATAACTGCCAATATTTAGAAATCCCTCATCCCTAGAATTTCTCAGGACTCATTGTTCATGGAGAAATTGAATATTTGTTGCAATGAATCCTGTGTTTTCAGTTGTCATATTTTTGGGACAATAATTAGAGGGAATTTGGGTAAGGTTCTACTATTCCTTGTATTTTTTAACTCCATTCTTTGCCTGTGGCTGCGGGAGGGGACTTGTGCATTGCTCTTTATTGGTCTCTATTGTCCTACTCAGAGGATAATCAATGACTAGAACAGATTGCTAGGAAAAGTGGTGGAGGCCAGGACACTGGCTCATTTAAAAAGCAGTTTGATGCTGTGATGGGGGACTGTAGGGTAACTGTCTGGAAGGATGAGATCAAAGGGACCAAAGGAACTTCATTCAAACCAATGGGTGATTTTGTGACCAGGAGACGAATAATCCACCTTGTTTTAACGCTGTATGATCATTTGTTTTCAAATCTTGAGATTGTGCAGAATTGTCGAAAATTTCTCATAATTTGGTAGTTTTTAAGAATTGTGAGAAAACAGCTTTTGAATTAAGATTGTAATTCAAGAAATTTTGTACAAACAACTTTGAAGGCTAAATAGACTAGCAGCCTAAGATCAGATGTAATATTGACCTTTAGATACTTGATTCTTTCCTTCCATTCCTCTCCCACCTCTGAGAACCTTGGGATGTCCTCTCCATGTGAAAGGCACTAAATAAATGTAAAGTTGTATCGGATTGTGAGAGACATGACAAGTCTCCTCCACTTAGTGATTCAGATCACACCCACTGCTCAGGATAACATCAACACACTCACTTCACTGGAGAAGCAGAGCTTATTACCATGAGTTTAAGTCTTAGCTAATAAGTTCTTTCCAACAGCCATTTGCATATGATGGTGTAAAAAGTGACCTCTTTTAAAACCTGTTTGACTCAATGAATTGGACGCGAAGCATATACTAATGCGGGTGGTCCAACCTTTTGGCTGCTGAGGGCCGGATGTCCTATTTGAGACATGTACCCAGGCCACATAAGCAATATTTATGTTTCCCTTCCAGAAACATAATAGAACATAAATGGAGGGAGCGGGTGGGTCAGATGAACTGGAGGGTGGGGCAGATGAAATCGGTTGGACCATCCTGTATTAATGGAAATATTTCAAGATTTCTGGTGCTTAGCAATTTTTTTTCTTTTTTTATCTTAAAGCAGGCACTGTGCGTGGCCGAGGTAGAGGGGCAGCTGGGAACAGAGCCGCAGGACCTCGGGGATCGTACCTGGGCGGATATTCTGCAGGCAGAGGTATTTACAGCAGATATCATGAAGGGAAGGCCAAGCAACAGGACAAAGCGTATGAACTGATACCCAGCTTAGATCTGGCTACTGTCAGTCCAGTTGCTATGAAACCTGGTGCAGGTTAGTAAAGGGAATGTTTTACTGAACATTTGCCTTAACTGCTGGAGAGAAAAAAAAATGCAGAATATATAAGGCCATATTTGTGTTTTAAAACTCATTCCAAAAATCCTATAGGATTTTGAAATTCTCGATAATTCCTTTTTAAACATAGCAAAAACCAATAGGTTTGTAAGTTGTCCCAAAATCCTATGGGATTTCTTAATCAGGTATTCTCCTTTGCTAAGGCATCATGTATATACCTCCATTAGGTTTGTGCATATAAACAAAAACCAATGTAGCAGCCACCGGAAGATTATGAAATAAATATACTCGAACGTCATACGCCAGAGAAAGATGCTTCAAATGATATTGTTCAACTTAAACTCATTGTAACACTGCTTTGTTGTCTCCTTTCAAATTTCTGCTCTATGATCAATTACCTTTTCTTAAAGAAATGTCTTGTAGAACTATTGCAAGCAGTAATATTTTAATCTGTTTTTGAATGTTGCAAACAGCAAATTCATGATCAACAGCACAAATGATTCTTAATTCATGTTTTTTGTTTGATTTTAGTGGCCATCCCTTCCATTGGAACCCAGTATCAAGTATTCCAGACAGCCCCAGGCACAAAGTTAATGGAAGAAAATAAAATGCATACAATGGAGCATGTTCTTAATCCAATCACTGTGCAGACAGATCATAATGGAGCAGCTGTCATTCCATCAGTTTCCACCCCACCACCTTTCCAGGTAAAGAGAAATTATTTTATTTCCCCTCAAAATACAAGTGTGTGATTGAGCTCTGCTTGTAACTTAATAACACCCCTCTACCCGCCACCCTTCTTGATTCCAACCCCAAGCTCTAGTGCAAACCCTTAACTGTCCAGCGCCTTGAGATGTCATCCTGATGTTAAAGCTATTATATAAATATTGTTGTCTTTGGAATTAGCAAGGCAGGATGCATCCTTCCAGGGAGAGAGTGCACATTCTATTCCAGACACAGGGAAATTTCAATGTATTCATGGCATACATATGTGGAACACTAATCTGGTTTGCATACTCTAAAGCATGGTAATGGGTTTCCGCACGTGTCAGACATGCGGCTGACCGGAAAAAAACAAACGCCTGATCCCAGTTAACAACTCATTTCAAAAGCCATGAAACATAATTAACATCCTCTTATCATCAGCCCTGATTGTTTACAACCTTTCCTTCATTTTTACAGCATCCGAATATTACAGCAATGCTCTCTTATGTCTTTCTTTAGACCCGTCCCTTAACTCCAGTGTACGCAATGGCCTCCAATATCCAACGGATTCCTACAGCCGGGTTCTACGGTGCAAGTTACGTCCCAATCGCAGCTCCTGCTAATGCTGCCGCCATGGCGACCTTGCAGAAGAACGCAGCTACTGCTGCAGCTGTGGCAGCCTACGGAGGGTACCCTGGCTACATACCGCAAGCATTCCCCGCAGCGACCTTTCAAGTCCCTCTACACGATTTCTACCAAACTTACTAGGAACTTTCAATCCTCCAGGACTTTACAACAGTGAAGGAACACATTGGTATTTATGAAGAAAAAAAAGCCAACATAGTTTGATACAAAAGAATCTTTTGTAGGACTCAACAAACTTCTCATCAAAAACTATGTGTGAAAGAGAGACAAATATTTTCAATTGCTATTTGTTAGGGAACTTTTAAAAAAACGTGTTTTAAGAAATGCGAAGGTTAAAAACCTTTTACTAGAAACAATTCTATGCATATTTTGTTATAGAGATATTTTTTTTTAAAAATGCCTTACATTTAGTAGATATTAAAATCTTCCGTCCATAAGGTTTAAATGTTTTGAATGTGGACATCTAGAAACTTGAAAAAAAAGTTAGTACTTATAGGTGTGGATTTGAAGTGCTCCTAGTGTGAAGGTTTTATGTGACTTGTTCACTCCAATTATCTATCCTATGCAGTGCCTTCAAAGAAAATTCATCCTCAACTAGAATGCATACCTTAAGTGGATTACCATAGCGAAATAAATGTAAATACTATTTGGATATAGTACATATATAAGCAAAGATAGACCTGTAGCTTTTTAACTGGTAGCTGAAACCAAGTGTGACACTGCTACCAGATGTGCTGTATGAGCTACGGTTTGGTGAACAACACCATTGTTTTTTGTTAATATCTGGTTTGGTACAGGCCATTGGCTACAATACTAAAGTATTGGGCCCTTGGCTATGAGACCAAATCTTGAGTCCCATTTTCAACTCAGTTTTATAGTTTGGCTTAAGGCATATTTCACCAGTCTCAGGTGGGATGCCTTATATGGGGTTAACCTTGGCAGAGTTTGTAGAATTATTCCCCGAACTAATTGAAGAAGACAGATGCATGTGGTAGAGGTGGGAGGGAAGGGGGTGTGCGTGGGTGGGGGGAAATGGGGAAAGGGGGGTGTGGGCAGTAATTATGAAAGAAGAAAGAAAATAAGGAAAAGAAAAGCCTGTGGCAGGACTATAAAACTCCACAGGGTAAGTTATTAAGAAATACAAGAGACTGAAACACAATATCCTAGAGGGTAAACCTTGAGTGGTATGCTTATCATGGTGTAAGGTTAACTTCCATTTATGATGCTCTTTATTTTCTCAGTGTGGGTTCAGGTGCATGGTGCTGGATTGTTGTCAAGAAAAGAGCCAAACAGCATCGTGCCTGCATGAAGTGCTACATTAATAACTTTTATCATGTTAAAGAAAAATTCCTAACTGATTTGAGGTGGTAAAGTAGTTTTGGGTAGTAGTGAATTTTGTCTTTTGGTTGTGTGTGGCCAATTTAGGTTATGTGTATATATATATTATGTTTTAATATAAGTTTTATCAGCAAATGGCTTTTATGGTGCAGCAGCAAATGGTATGTGGTTTACCACAGAATTTTACCAATTTATTTCAATGCTGTTGAAGAAGAGAAGAAAACTTTTATTATAGTAGGAATTAAGTGTATTGTTGCAATGTTTCAATGGCCTGTTTAAAGGCTTTCAGAAAGTCCATTTAAAGTGGTGACATCAAACTCAGTAAAACCTGCATAATGTGACTCCGTTCTTTGGGATGACCAAAAGCAACTGCTGACGACAACCTGGCAATATAGTTGAGATGCATCCATTGTTTGAACTGGGGAATTGATTGTTTGAAGTTCTGGGGATTTTTATGGTATTTTATTTTGCTAACAGTTCTGTCCATTTGCCTCTTAACACTTGCTACTGTTTGTGGACCATAAAATCCTCACTTCTGCTAGACCAATAATGACAACGTACCCAAAACACTAACGTTAACTGCTTGGATGGCCTTGAAGATGAGCCATACCCAGGGGAAACTAACTCAATGCTCCTATACAGTTCATCAGAAGGCTGAATAGTCATCATTACTGTTCAATGATGACAAATAGATGCATTAGAAAGATTAATCTGCATGTGCCAGTATTGCCTTGGTTGCTCATCTCAGATGATCCCCGACATCCAATAAAACAACGGTTACATTCTTTGACTAAACCTAAAGATACAAATTCAAGTTTTATCAACATTCTTGATTCCAGGCACTTTTTCTTGGTGGAGTCTCACAGGTTTTGGTTTGGCCTCAAATTCTCGCTAGCAATATTCCTAATCTCACTGATTATTTTTAAATGCTAAATGTTGCACTGTTGCAATACTTTAATCAATACCACTTTTTGAAAGAAAGACTCCTACAATTCGTCAATATCAAGGTAGAAATTGCCCAGTGAAGTTTGGATGCACAGTTTAGAAGCGAACATTTGAAGAGTTATTCTGTGAAATGGGAAGGCGAGTGAACTCCTTGCTTAATATTTTCAATGAAATGAAGTTCTAACATCTATCTAGTGGCTGTGTAATTTATTGGGCCATTGTCTATGCTGCTCAGTAGTGCAGGGCCTTTCCACTCGGCAAAACAAATCTGGGGTCTCTTCTGCTGTGCAAAGAACCCATTTATTTAAATAAACCCAATTGTCATCAGTGAGAAATTGGGTGTTTTACTACTGAAATCATGAATCCCATTGGCCTTGAAGGCAAGTGGGGATAACCTGCCCAGAGCATGCGAATTAGTGCAGTTTGCAGAGAACCAGCAAATAGTTGGACTTCAACCACCTGGAGACAGGGCTTCAGCCATTTCTGGATCTTTCTTTATGTTATTTTATGTATTCAGAGTTTACTTTGTGTCTGCTTCAACACTGTTCTGTTGCTTTTTGCCAAATATTAGGATGGGTGGCAATGCCTATTAAAGCCCTGTTCATGTCAATGTAAACACTCTAGTTCCCTGCTGGCCTAGTCAGTAACAGCACTTCCTGGTTGGTACATCATTAAGCCATTCAAACTAGATTTCAAGTTTGAATCCCTGCCTTTGCTATGCTAGCTGGTCTCGGCCCCTCGGTTAGGGAAGGGAAAAGCAGGCTGGACTCCCTCTTCTGATCGCTATTTAGAAAAACCTGCTGAAAGGGCATGTGTGTGGATTTCATGTGAAGACTGGACCGGGCTGGGTTGGGATGCCCTTTGTAGGTGAATAGCCTGCTAGCCCTCACTGTCAAAGTTACTTGGACACGGTTCTGGAGGGCATCTGGAATCTGTGGAACTATACTTCAGTGGAAGAAAGGAGTAAAGTCAAACGACTTTAAGAGAGATGGAGGGGACAAACATTAGCAAAATGGAGGGGAGGGGGAGGGGGGTTAAATGTATTTTTTAAAAAATACCTTGTGGATGCCAAGCATTGACAGGCACATATGGAATAGCTGTTTACCATCTCCATAGTAATGCAGGTATATTCCCTGCTCACCTAACAATGGGTCCAAGATTTTTTCAAATCAGGCTTAGAATATTTAACCAAATTGAACACATTTCGATTGACCAAATCAAAATCAGCTTTGCCTAGGTTATTGTTCATCGATACACTGTAAGTCTTGTAAGTGGAACACTCCCAGAGTGCGCAAAGCACTCCCTCTACCAATTTCTCCCAATGAGTATCAGGAATGAATTGGTCCCTGAGCAAATTTCCCTTTTAATGGAGCTATATGCCACAATTAATACTTTGGGTTTGGAACCAGTAGGTTCTCAGTTTGAATCCCATTGGGAATTCAGCTCATTCCCTCTACTTCTTCAAAGGCAGAAAATGAGTGCATTACCTAAAAATATCCTACTGTGGCAGGGAAGAGTGAGCACAATTATCTTGGAGTTAAACTAGCTCTTAAGACAGGCAGTTCTGCAGTAATCCATACAGTACTGTCCTCAAGCTGCAAATCAAAACACTAGCACATAAATGAGTTCTAGCTGGACAAGTTTCATGTTGCATAGTTCCCCACAGAGAAAATCATCAAAACTATCTACTTCACATGCATTTCCCATCCTAAGCAAAACACTGTATATACTACAGAAGTCTTAAAAATATCTAGTTTTAGGGCGATAATTTAAGAATGAGAATTGCAGACTGGTACCTTTCTCAGCATGCATTCGGTACAGTGCCACAATAACTTTAAGATCTTTAAAAAAAGGACACCGGTGTTGGATAATGCTAAAGATATCCTTTCCAGCAATTCCTTCAAATAAAAAAAAGCCTTAGTTAGACCTCTATGTCTGTGGCATGTAGTTCCTTTCAATAGCCATTCCTGATGGCAAGGTATCCACAAGCTGGTGTATACTGTATTTGCATATCTCTTCTTCAGTATATATGTAAAACACATTTTATTTACTATACAAAGTATTCAGGGTAACTTCACTAGATTAGAGTACAAAATAGTTTTTATTGTCCGAGCAGAGAGGTGCAAGGTCAGATTTGGAAACTTCTATTTTATTTCTTAATATTTTTATTTGGTTACTGAGTCCAGCTTTTCTGATAGTACTTTATAACCCTGTTGAGTAAAAAGAATGTAGAATGTATTTAAATAAAAATATTTAACTTGCAATACACATTCTAGTCCGGTTGTGGGAGGGCAGGGGGACTATTTTGAAAAAGCTAATGGTTTCACGTTCGAGAGCAACTTTGTGTTGGATAAGCAAAATTTTTACGGTATTTTGTATTAGTTTTTTATGAAGGTGTGCAAAGCAGGACCCAACAATGATCTAACAAGGTGACATTTTCCATCATCTCCTGGAGGCGTATTGGTAGAGGCCTGGTCAAGATCAATGAGCCTGTCAGTTAGGGTGCATGTTTATGCTATTCTGTTTTAACCATTTCATGCAGCATTTGTAGCATCTTGACTCAAAGCGTTGGTCCTTTCTCATACATATAAAAGAACAAGGTATACATAGACAAGACTAAACTAGCGTGCCTTATTAGCAAAGAAATGCATTGCCAATAGGTGTTTGAACTCTTGGACTATATTTTCTACTTTCCTTATGTTTTAAAAGCTTTCAAGTTTATTCTGTTGTTGCATTTATATTCTAAAACAGTAGTCAATAAAGCATTTGAAACCTATTGGTCTTGGCTGTTAATATTGTAAGTGAACTACATTACTCCATTTTAATTCACTTATGTCAAGCTTAGCAGTTAGATCACAAGGAGAAAAAAAATGTCACTCACTCCATGAGTGTTTGTAGGACATTGTTTGCAATTCACTGCCGCGTTTTGTCCACAACATACAGAGTCAATCAACTTTACAATATATCCTGTGAAGCACTTTGAGACACCTCAACGACATGATAAGGCACTATATCAAATGTAAGGATTATTATTAAGCCCTTTGTAATTTGATTTCATCAATATACAATATAGCCCAGCACCATGTTTGCTCTGTTTATTGCTGCTTCACACTGATCCACATAAGGTCTACATAAGATAGACAAGAGTATATACAATTTTTATATATATATATATATCAAATTTATAGATCTTTGTTCACTGGAATGAATTTTTCCCACATTGGAACTTGATCTCACATAGTCTAAGCTGACACTCCAATGCAGTGCAGGGGATGTGTTGCATTATTGGAGGTACCGTGGTCCATATGAGACGGTAACCAAGGTCCTATGTGCCTATGCAGATGGACCTTAAAGGTCCCATGGCACTATTTGAAGAGAGAGTTTCTCCCAATGTCCTGGTCAACAATTCCCCAAATAATATTGGTGCCTAATTTCACAGCAGTGCGCAATTGTGCTACCGCATTTGCCTGCAAGGACACATTCACTCCATTTCACAGTAAATCCTATGAATTACTTTGAGACATCTTTCCAACGTGATACAGCAATATCAAATGCAAGGAATATTATTTATTTAACATTAATAAGGTGCCCTCTGATGAAGCCAGATAGGAAAGGCTGCTCTGAATTAAAATACCCTGTGACCATCCTGTCGCCGCTCACTACTTGTGCTCATATAAGAAGTACAGTCACTTGGGCAAACCACTTACCACTTGTGGACTTGTATCCATCAGGTACAATACAATTCACAGTT